CCAGGAGCCCGGAGCCGCAGCGCTGGGCCTGGCGGAGCGCCGGAGGCCGGCAGCACCTGGCAGGAAGGAGGTGCGAACTCACCCTCCTTTCCTGAGCTACGTGCGGGGCAGCAAGCAGAGCAGAGCAGATAACAGGATTGATCCCTGTTGGCTGCTCATCGGGTGACAGCCTGGCTCGTTAAGGGGTCAGAGTGGCTTGTGTTTCCTGGCAGCGGGAGGCTCTGCTATTGGAGGGATATCCGCCTGTTGGCGTGGGACTGCAGGGGTCGGTGCGATCCGCGGAGAGACCCCAACCAGGGCCAGAACTGGATCATGACTCTCGGGTCTCTCCAAGGGAGCCCTCTCCCTTTTTGGTGTCAGCAAGGGAGGAGACACATCCCGCTCTTCTTCGCTTTGTCCAAAGGAAAAAGGAACAAACCAGGAGGGAATTTCCTGAGCGCCTCAGGAATTGAGTGCCTATTGTAGTAGTATCTGCTGGTTTAGATTAGACCGCTGTCCCTGAGGAGGTGTTTGGTGCCTGCTAATAGGAAGTACAGCTCGTACACAGAGTAAGCGGCTGGCCTGGAGGAGACACTGATAAGCAATAGTGTGTGCACGTGTGTGGACACAGATTTGGGTATGTGCTGAGGCTGTTTTTAGCATGAATCGCATTAACACACTCCATGGAATGGAGGGGAATGCTTGCAAGGCCTCCCCAGTGCCACACAGGTAACGTGCTGGTTATGGTAGGGGACATGCTAGTGACATGTTGCTATCCACACACACCTGGTTGGGGGCGGTCAGTTTGGGCTTTTGAGTTTCTTCCTGTGGGGCTGTGCATCACTCACATGCCAAGGAAGAGCTGGAGAAGGGGGGAAGCAGCCCAAACTGTGCGTTATCACTCCCAGCCCTCTGTGGCCAAAGAGGACAACCTTACACTGCCTCCCATCGCATAGCAAGGCCAGAGCTGTGGGCGTGAACAAGGCAGGGGGACCCCCTCCACATCTTCTAGTGTCCATATGCACCCAAGAGGACACAGCACTCTCATCCGTCTTGTCAAACTGCTTTAATATTTGGACATGAAGACAGGACAGAGCCATTCCGGCTGTGCACAGACAAGATCCCCTCAAGCTACAGTGTAAGACTGCAGGGTTTCCCTTCTCAATGGATGTGTGGATTTGGCCAAGACGCAGTTCAGCTGATGACGTCCAGAGTGTGCCAGTGGGGTGCACGTGTGGGGTAGGGAAGAGGGATGGGGGCTCCCCAAGGCAGTTCAGAGGTTGTTCAGCTCCAACAAGGTCTGATCCAGGACCTGGTGGATGCCAACGTTCTCCTCTTTGGCACTGGCCAGATTCTCTGTGAACACAAGGACATGGCCACACACAGGCAGCCACACGCACGCGGACACAGAGCCACGCACGCAGCACCAAGCACAGACACACACACACACAAATGGACATGTCAGTGTGGAAACAGCGTCCAAAGGAGCAGGGCCTCCCTCGGAGCCGAGCCTGCGCAAGCAGCCTCGGTGCCGGAAGGGATGAGCGCAGTCGCTCCAGGACCTGCCAGGGTGGCCAGGCCACCTGTGCCAGTCTCTGAGGACAACTGGTTCCTGCTCTCCAAACCCTGCTCTTCTGCTTCTCCCCTCCTCCCATCACATCCCATGGCCTGGGCATGCTCACCGGCTGGCCAGGCGACACAGCCTTGTGGCTCCCGATTTCCACGGAACATCCTACCCCAGGTTCCTGCTGGCTGGCTATGGGTGTGTGCGTGAGCCCCTGGCCAGCGAAAGAGGAGAACCAGCGTCTGTTCCAAAGGCCAGCGGTGCTCCAAGAGAACAGGAGTGAGACAGCAGCCCATGAGGATGGGCAGAGGGACAGCACAGAGAAAGAGCAGAACTGATGAGGCTGCAGGAACAAGCTCCACCGGCCAGAGCCTCCCCTGGCTCTCACTTCCCAGCTGCATCCTCCTCTTTTGAGAAATGGGGATGGGATGCAGGGCTCTCCCGGCCAGGTCCTGCACTGCTGCTCCAGCCCTATCTCCCAGCGTTCCCAGCCGGGCTCTGCCCCCCACTGCCCTGTCCCCTTCCCAGGACCTAGCCAGTGGGGCACTGCCTGGGCCCCAGCTCTACCTCAGCCCTCCCAGCAGGGAATTCCTGTTCCGAGGGGACCGTTTGAGATGACCAGAGCAATGAGGAAGACACTAGCTGCCTTAGAGGTCCCCATGCCCCTGGGAGCAGCAGGGGAAGGCAGCAATGCACAAGCAATGCATGTCTCTCCCGAGTGGGGCCAAGCTGATGCCAGGAGGAAGCCACCATGGCATGGGTGTCCCAGGACATCGTGCAAACCCTCCCTCCTCTCCCTGGGAAAACCAATCAGCTACAGAGGGGCTCTCCAGCCCCGCTGAGCAGGGCGGTCATCCCTGGGTGGGTGGTCGAGGCCGGGCTATCCCTGCTCCATGCACCACTGGGCTGCAGCGGGGAGCGGGCAGGACTCGCAGCCCTGAGGCAGCCTGGCCGGGACCGGGCAGGGGGGGAGGCCGGGGCGGGGGGCG